CTCGAAAGCCGGGGCATTTCAATTTGTTTTCTCCCGCTACACTCTCTTCCGATTGCAGGTTCCATCCCGCCGGAGCTTGGAGAGCTCGCCGCACTGCAGCTCCTCGACCTCACGCATAACCAGCTAACCGGTGAGTTCGTTCAGCAGTTCATGTTTGAAGCATGAATCCCGCGGGCGATCGCGTCCACACACGTTCGCGGGACCTACGATGTTCTAGAAGTCGATTAAAATGCTTGCTTTGATCTTTTTGTTTTTCTGTGTGGCCCATGTGCAGGGCCGATACCCAAGGAACTCGGAGCCCTGAGCGGGTTGCAAGTGCTTGATCTCCAAGTCAACCAGCTTTCAGGTAAGGAAAGCGCAAAAGTAACTTATACTGTTTCGTCTTCTGAAGAATCGTGCATGGACGCTGACTCTAGAAGATCCGTCCCGCCAACTAAAGAAAAATCCCCGCGCTTTCCGTACAAAAGTTTCGTGGACGCGTAGGCGTATGCGTCCACAGATCTACGGAGATCAGTTGTCTTGAAAAAATAAAGGCAGGTTAATTTTATTCGTTTCTGTATCCCGCTTGATCGTATCGCCCTCCTGCGTACAGGCCGTATCCCGCCGGAGCTCGGGAACCTCGGAGCATTGACATTGCTNATCCGCGGGATTCATCGACAGCAGATCATAATGAGAAAGTTCAACATAAATATTTTATTGGAATGTACCTGTAAGCTTGTTGCTGTAGAGCCACAGGACCCGCAGGTTGCTGAGAGCCCCTAGCTCAGGCGGGATGNCGTGTCCGCTTGCAGGCCACATCCCGCCTGAGCTAGGGGCTCTCAGAAACCTGCGGGTCCTGTGGCTCTACAGCAACAAACTTACAGGTACATTCCAAATAAATATTTATGTTGGACTTTCTCATTATGATCTGCTGTCGATGAATCCCGCGGATGCCTACGCGTCCACGAAACTTTTGTACGGAAAGCGCGGGGATTTTTCTTTAGTTGGCGGGACGGATCTTCTAGAAAGCGGGAGGTATCTTTTGCTTTGATCCCGTTAAACTGCCCTGCTTTGACTCGTTCATCTACAGGCCACATCCCGCGGCAGCTAGGAGATCTTGGCGCCCTCGAGACCCTCAACCTCAGATTCAACAAGCTAGAGGGTGAGTTGAGTAGATAAAAAAAAACATTTGTTCTTTCGACTTGTGAACTTCCAGAACATCGGTCCCGCCTATGTACTTGGCGGCATCAAAGTTATCCCGCTAGTTCTGAAGTTTCGTGGACGCGTGTGCCTACGCGTCCACGAAACTTCAGAACTAGCGGGATAGCTTTCATGACGCCAATGACGTAGACGGGTACGAATGTTCACATTTTCGGGACTCGCGGGACATCTTTTTCCACGCATTTTTTCTAGAACTCGTCCTTGCTGATATCTCTCCCTACTGCATTCTTGTGCAGGACCCATCCCCAAGGAGCTGGGAGCACTTCGTAGGCTGAAGACGCTTTGGCTCGATAACAACATCCTCACAGGTGAGACAACGAATACGGGTTGAATTTTTTCTTGTTCACGAAACAAGAATCCTGCTGACGGTATCCCGCTGGTTCTTAAGTTTCGTGGACGCGTAGGCGTCCGCGTCCATCGACCTACGGAGATCGAACATAAAACCTTTTGGTAGTCCCCCCCCCCAAATAATGGAGTATTTGTTTTGCTTGTCTGTTTGCAGGGCCTATCCCGCAGGAGCTGGGCAAGCTAACAGCGCTGGTGAAGCTCGAACTAGGGGACAACCAGCTATCCGGTGAGGCATGAAATTGAGCATGAATGCCGCATATGTACTTGGCGGCACAGCAATTATCCCGCTAGTTCTGAAGTTTCGTGGACGCGTAGGCCTACGCGTCCATTCACGCAGTACGCGGGGTTCATGCAGGCAAAACTCGCAAGCAAACGAAAACTCTTTTCGATCTGTTCAACTCACCATCTAGCTTGTTGCGCGAGAGGGAGAGGTGCTGGAGGGCGCCAAGCTGTCCGAGCTGCGGCGGGATATGGCCTGCAGATGAACGATTCAACGCAGGGCAGTTTGGCAGGGTACAAAAAAAGTTCTCCCGCGAGTTCTGAAGTTTCGTGGTCGCGTAGGCATCCGCGGGATTCATTGACAGCAGATCATAATGAGAAGTCCAACATAAATATTTAATTGGAATGTACCTGTAAGCTCGTTGCTGTTGAGCCACAGGATCCGCAGCTTGCTGAG